GGCGGCTTCGGCGCGGCGACCTTCGCCAGCACCTCGGCTGCCCCTCCGCAAAGCAACGGGGGCGGGGGCGGCAAGCAGGTGAGCTCCGCCGGCTGAGGCCGACTGGGGGCGAGGCGGGAGGAGGCCGGGCTGGCTGGGAGGGGGCTAGAGCGAACCTTCCCGGAGAGCCCTGCACCTGCTGGGCCGGGTCGTCTCCTCCCCTTACCACCCACTCCTCTCCCGCCATCATTAAGATCTTCATTGACTCGGCCCTTTGTTATTGTGAGAAACTAGAAGTGTGCAAAGGCAAGGAAATCAAAGCCCTTCAGACATTCCCCCATTGTGATATTTTGAGGAGCAACCAGACAATCCGATACTGCACACGTGTACGCAGAGACGCAACTCGTCCTGTATTGGACCTTTTTCCTTGTTAATAAAGGATTCCCGCCCCCCCGCTCATTATGTTATTAAGATGATCATGTCATTATTTTAAGTGACAGTGTAAGTACTTTGCCGTAGGAGGCACCTTGCCTAAGCCGTGCTCTAGCGTTGTGGAATTGAGTTGCTAAGGATTTTTCAGTGTGATAAACACAACAAATAAATAGTTCTTGCCTTGGCCTACATTTACTTCTACTCTTGTCCCCTGCCCTATTGTAAGTAGCACGCTTTGGAGACTTTGGCGATGTTTGACTGAGGGCCTCCTTGTTTTAATTATTCCTGTTCGTGCAGTTACCCATCATAAAAAGAAAAGGTGCACTCTTAATTTTAAATGTCTGTATAAAGTGTATACTCAAGCTCATAAATGGCTGTATCAGATAGCAACCTTGCTACACTTTTTATTTATTTCTTTTTGTTCTTCAATTGTTTATGTAACAGAGTAAGCAGGAAATTCACAGGAGGTCTGCTCGTCTCAGAAACACTAAATACAAATCTGCTCCAGCTGCTGAAAAGAAAGTTTCCACAAAAGGAAAAGGGAGAAGACATATTTTTAAATTAAAAAATGTAAGATGATTGTGGACAGTGTCTTTTACTATAATGGTGTTTTGTATGTATTGTGTCCTCCACGGCCTTCATCTCTCATCATTCTACTTTTGAGTCTACTCTTGGAAACCTCTTCCAAACTCCACAAGAGAAGTAGTTCTGTTGTAGGATATTTAGTGTATATAAACAATACCCCTTCTCTTCTTTCAGTTCCCCCCCCCCCTCTAGGAGGTATAAAATATGAGTCTAAAAAAAAACACATTTTATTGGGCTACCTAAGAAAGGAACAGGATTATAGTATTTGGTATGCCCAGGTATATTAGGAGAACTTTTTTTTTCTTTTTGGTTCTGTAAAGATTTACATAAATAATACTGAAACTTGTTCATTTTCGTATTTATTTGTTATAGGCTCAGAAAGTATAGCTTACTGGTTGAATTTGATGCTCTAAAAATAGATTTTTGAAAAGCTTAAAGGTAAAAGCATATTCTGTTGCAAATATGTTCTCATTTTTGAAAGCACAATGAAACAGTGGTCAGTCTTAATGAACAATACATTGTACACTATTTTTTTTTTAAGTCTGTATATTTGCTTCTAGAAAAAGAATGCTTCACTTACCAGTAAAGACGATTCTAAAGTTGGCATATCATTTATAAAACACAGAGAAAGACTTTGATAATTTTTGTGCAGATAGTGGATTCTTTTTGGGAACCCCTAATTTAAGATATTTTAAATTGTTTCCTTTCTATGAGGCTTTCCTTGACTAGATAGAAAAATGTTAAATGAATGTTCAATTGATTATAGTTGTACCATGAATCACAAGTTTTTCTCAAGTATGATAGAATATATTCTCTGCAATTAATATCATTTCCACTAGCAACCTCTTTCTTCAAGAATTTTACCAAAAAATATTTTGGAGAGGCATAGTTTCTATGTTGTAGCATAAATATGTGTATAACTGCTTGAAAGGGGATTTTAACATTGGTTGATGGCAAATCACTGAGGAAGTTTTAGCCTTAGTTCAGTCTTTCTGATATTGTCAGAATTAAGTTCATTTTGTTTTCACCAGCACATTTCTTTCTACAGCCACTTCTTCTCCGGTGACTAGAGCCATTATATTCTTCTAACTTTATTAATGTATAATAAAGCTCTGAGAGTGCTGGTGTTACATCTCAGTGACATAACCAGAAACTTGTACTTTGGTTCTCAGCAATTTTGAAGCTAATGGTGCCAGAAACAGCAGTAGAAATAGTCAGACTTTGCTACAACATTAAGAAAATAATTTATTACATTACTTGTTACCAAACAACAAAGTTAGTATTTCTCAAATTACAGAACTCACACACATGACAGGGAAATGCCTGTACACACTGCATACTCATAAACAACACTATGAATGTGCTAATATTTTTACTTTTGTTTTTTCATAGCCCATCAAAGCTCCTGAGTCAGTTTCTACTATCATCACTGCAGAGTCAATCTTCTACAAGGTAAACATCTGCAGAGTCACTGAAGGAAGATTTGGGCCTATTGTGTATTCTACAAAAGTGTCGGGTTAGTGTAATGGTCTCTGCTGCGCTATAAGGCTTGATTATTTTTTGTTGTTGTTCTCATCTAAGCCGTTTTCTACCACTGTTGTTATTATACAACATCAGATCCAGAACTGAGTTGGGAAGTTGCCTATTGAAATATGCTGTGAGGATCTTAAGAATTTTTAATATGTGTTATGGGAATTCTTAAAGTGCTAGTTTATGGTGTGGAACTATGAAAGAGCAAGCCACCCTAGCCATTGAGATGGTATTGACGGTTAGGAACAGGGCTGTGACTGGGACTAGGCAACCATGTAGACTGTGATGTCCACTGAGTAGTGTAAGCGCAGAGATTCTAAAATGCCTTTAGAGCAGGAATTGGACTTAGCACCTATTAGAAATCCTTGGTGAGAGAGTAAGTCTAAGGTGTTTTGCTAACAGAGTTTGGTAGTTAGATTTATTAGCCCAAGAACCTCTGGATACTCCAGTGAGAGAAGTGACATGTAATTATTAACCAGAAACCTTAGGAAAGCAATTGAGACAAAGAAAAGACCTTTAAGCCCTGGCAGACCTGGCACAGGCAAGAAGACTGTGTTGTGTGTCTCCCTTCACAGTCTTCATCTCTCATCATTCAACTTTGAGTCTGCTCTTGGAAACCCTTCCAAATGCCACAAGAGAAGTGAGTTCTGTTGCAGGAGGCTTACTGCTTATAAATAATACCCCTTTTCTTCTTTCAGTTCTTTTCAGACCTGCATCTAAACTGTCACTTAGGGGGCAGTACTATTTTAGTGCTTTAATTATACCTGACCTAGGTGGACCAAACACTGGAGACACAAGTGATTATTTGCCTTCATGTATCTTTTTTCCGGTTAGCCCAAAATCTGTAGTCTCATAATTTATACACAGGCAAACCTCTCTCCTGCATTTCTGGCATTTCATGCATTGTTAAAGTTTAGTATGTGTTTGCTATGTAACAGAGATTGCAGTGAACCTTTTGCATATTTTATTTAATTCAGTCTACTTCATAGAGTGGGCATTGTTATCCTTTCTGTGTAGGTAAGAACATTGAGGTTTATTAACTTGTCCAAGATCATATAGCTGACAAGTCATGGAGCCTAGCACTCAGCTACTAGCTCACTGCTTGCATGAGTAGCTATGTGATTGGGCTAAGACCAATCTCTAATAATTTTTCATCTATCAAATAGGGATTGTAAATTGAAACTACTTTGTAGGGGCAAGTGAGATGATATATATTAAACACTTGGTAGATTAGGCACTCAATGAATAATAGCAATTATGATCATCACATTTTCAAGTTCGTGCAATTACCTTCACAGATTAAATCCAGAATAAACTTCTGCTAAAGATTTAGTGTACTCCTTATTTCTAGCATGTCTCAACAGAAAGGTGTGAGGGATCTGCTATTAGAAGCATCAGTACTTTGTTACTAATTTATTAAACAGTAAGAACAAAATGCAACAATACGTTCAAGTAGTGCTACAGGTCCCAATGTGAGGGATGTCTCAGTAGTGCCACTGCAGGAAGCACTGAGTATAAGAGGGCATATCCAGCTGCTGAATTAGAGCCCAGATTATGCATTGGAGAGGAAGATAAGTGGGAGCCAGTGGATGGAATGGATACCCAAGACCCAGAATAGTTTAGTGACCTCTTCAGAGTACTTCAGTGACAGAACAGCCCTGTAAACTTAGGTTTAGTCATTCCTAAACCCCTTTCTATTCTGCCAGTAACACAGAAACCTCTCTGTGAATGAAGGAAGTGCCTCAGCCCTGTTTAATGTTTTCATTCATCCATTCATTCATTCATTCATTTATATTTGTGCATATAGATCTATGTGTATAATATATATGTATGTATACACACACATATATGCATAACAGCACATATTAATAGACACCATGTGTCAGGCACTGGTTGCCATTGGAATCTTGCACTAAGACATTGTCTTTGATGGCAGTTCTTTTTTCAAGCTATTATATATTTTGGATTAATATTCATTCAGTATATATTCAAATGCATGTTATAAGCAGGCTCTTTTTTTTATGTGTGAGAAAACAATCATTTATAATTTGAGAATGATGATGATAAATTAGACAAAGCTAGCCATAAATTTAAACTATTTTATGACAACCTCGAACTTGGACTATAGGCTGAAAGAATCAATTGATGATGGTTATGAGCTAGCAAGCAGCAGGTTATGGGGGGATGGGACTATATCCATCCATAGTCATCCAGATCCTATAATCTCTTAGACACAGGGATAAAAGGTACAGCAGGAGAAATTCCTGTCACAGCTCAATCACTGGGAATATTTCTGTAGAAGCTTTTGTATGATAGATGAACACACCCTAGTGTACACATCAGCTGCTAGGCCCAGTTTTGAGGGAAACAGTAACAAATCACACCTGGTTACTTCAGTCAAAACAGTGTGGCTTGAGAACTTCACCCACCTAAGAAAGCTTTGAATGTCACAAAGATGTGAATCAACCCTATGGATGTTCAAAGAAGAGATTATTGCTATTTCAAGACCCAGGAAACAGAATATAGGGCAGAATATAGAGGCAGAGGTGTTAAGGCACTAAACCCATTGCCTGTGCAGATTAGTTAGGTAAGTATGAAGAGTAGAAATAATAATGAACTGGATGTTAGAAATACTAGTTTTTTTTTTTAAAGATTTATTTATTCATACAGAACTGGGGTACAGGCCAGAGGCACAGGGGCAATGAGAGGATTCACCAGATACAGAGTGGGGAGCAGAACAGGGAGATCAACAAAGTACACTGCTGAGGGGAGCAGCGGGAGAGACAGGAGAAGTCTGCTGCACTATTTGGATCACCTCTAGGGCAGGAGATCGAACTCGCACTGAAGCAGCTTCGGCTGGCTTGCAATGCTGCCCTTTAACCC